GGGGGGGGGGTACCTGGGCGTTTCTATGGCAACTCCTTTTTGCTTTTTAACCCACATGGCTGGTCACCAGTTACCAGAACGAGGCAGGATCTCGAACCAAAACAACAGCACGGCGAGCTGTCGGCGTGCAGAGCCGGAGTGAGGAGGGACCGGAGGCTCCCCGTCCCTCCGCGCGCACAGACAGCGGCTGGACTGCCAGGCTGCCGACAGCACGGCTGCCATTTTGTGGAGGAAAAAAAACAGAAAAGCCCGTATCGGTTCAACTGGCTGCGGGGTTTCCTTCGAAAGAGAGGGGGGGGGGATAAAACCAATCTCCGACGCGTTTGCGCCAGATTCCCAAATCGTCGTGGACCACCGGGAGGAGTAGCCTACGTGTGTCCGACTCGGAGAATAATCCCCGCTCTATTGTGGGTTCGCTTCGCGCCGTGTTTTGCATGGCGTGTGCGCGATAACCAGCACCGCGCAGCACCAACATGGCCAGACGGCAGCGACGGCTGAAGCGCACACTGGATCATACTTATTTATTCTGAGCCATGTAACGACTCCCAACAGCCCGATTATTTAACGCCAGCATTGTTTATACTTTAGGCCAATTGGCATTCAACTTCACAAACCCGGTTATGACCAACAACAGAAACTCAAACGGTGGATTAAGTGCTCCAATGCCGAAGTCTCACCGTCGTTCCATTTATCCCGGAGTCCTGCAATATTTATGAGCCAATAGGGACATGTTGGCTGTAAGGTCATTTAAATCGGTGAGTATTAATAAAAGCTAGAATTTCTTCAAGTGCACCATTTTCTGTATTTTGATATGAACAGTCATTAAAAGTCTAAATTGTAACCCATAGGCAGGCCATGATAAGGTGCTCCTCTTCAAACCCTGGATGACAGCCAGCCTGTCCAGCTCTGAACCCACACTGTTACTGCATGGAGCCACAGCCGGCACCATGCCAATGTCCCGACCTCTCCTGGCCGTCTCCGAGCAGACCACAGCGGGCAAGTTTGGACATCGACTCCGATTCCACGCATGGATAATGATGGATAATGATGGATAATGTCTACATATAGTCAGGGAGAGCCTGTTGCGTCACGAATCGATTGACTGGTGTTTGGACAACTGCTCTCCTTCCGTCCTGTGGGAGCTGCACGCTCACTTTATAAGACTTCAAGTCAATCACTTCATAAACGCAAACGTAAAGCGCTTTATGAGGGAACGAATGCCACCCAATGGCTGCAGCACCAACCAGCAAACGCTGTAGCCTTCAAGCGTGTAGGCTAAATCGAGCCTGTTCAAGATCCCCGTAAAGAAACAAGACAGATGCAGCCTATGGGCTATATTATTTTCATATGTACAGTTAAATGACGGAGTCGGTGTTGATAGCATCCATTAATTCAGAACTGAATCTTTAATTCTCTCAATAGGGCAACAAAAAAACAAAAACAAATGAGGAGATTGTCCTTCGCTTCTTGCAATGACCCAAACCTCGTTTATTCCCAAATTAGAGCAGCTGCTTTTGAAAAGGTTCCCCTTACACCTAAATCAACAGCAGCTGGAAATAACCCAATTAAAATCGGCACATTAACCGGCACCAGTCAAGTCAGAAAATCCTGAAATAAAGATTCCTAATTGGCCACATGACTCAAACGTGTTTAAGTCCATACAAACAAGATTAAGTTGGGCTGGGTGTGTATTAATGTTCTCGCCGCACACTGTAAAGTGAACCATCCAGTCTGTCATACATTGTAACATCTATTCACAGACCTGTGAGGCTTTCAACCTGTAAACCCGGAGAGGGGGGGTTAATACATTAATTTTAACTCATTACGCGCACACACAGAGGGTGCCCAACAGCATTCATGAGTAAAATGATAATTTTTATCCCCCAAGAGGCAAAAGCCCTGGCTCATGTCTGCCTGTCCCAGCAAAGAGTCAGAGTCACAAAGTGCGCCAGCTTTTAGCCGTAGGAAGGTGAAAACATGCAAATCCTTAATGAGCTTAAATACCAACAAACAAAACAGGCTATGCTGAAGATCACATATGAAATAAAGTCAAACTACCGATGCTCTGGCGGCTTGAGAGACTCAACAAGCCTTTTGTATCTTGGCCGACGAGTCGCCCACTTTATTTTTTATTTTGTATTTCTCAAAAACCCAACCACCATTCTTAATTATGATAACCATACACAAGGACATAAAGAGCGCACAGTGCATGATTAACGATGATTCAGCGTTTACCAAGCAGCAGTCATGAAACATTTATGCACAGTGGAAACGGTTTGCCTCCTTGTCACGTTCATGGGAGCGATCCAAGTTAAGTTAATAAATCCAACATTTAGTCATATACAGCCAAAAGCAACGCAACACCCTGTTCACAACAGCCCAGACATCCAGACTCTATAAAATGAAGACACTGTGTGGAAATATGAACACAGCAGGAGCACTTGGAGCACTTGCTGCTGTTAACATCTCAGCCAACCCAGCCTGGTTCGCCCGAGATCTCCCACTTTACATAAATCCAGACGACGCTTTTCAAACCCCAGCCGTGATCAACTTATACAGACACATCACTCAATAGTATAGAATGCAACACCGGGTGAGCGTGGATCTTAATACGCATTCGTGCCCGAGCAGAGAACATATTTTGCCCAACAACAAAAAAAAAAAGTGGTGCGCAGACACACACACACACAGAGCTCCACGTCGGTGATCGCTGCAGCCACCGTTGAAAGCTCCACATCAACCGCTGGATCGGTACGTGTAAAACCACAAAAAGCACCACCCCAAACCTCTCCCCGTGCCCCCGTTAGTTAGAGACGATATCGAATAAGACATACCTGGAGGCTGAACAGGGAATCGGTGGGTCTTGAGGCGAGCAGACAATGAAAGTTGGGAGGCGATCAGCAGAAAATGAATAGGAGCCGAGCCGCCATCTTGAAGCAGGCTGCAGACGCTGTCAGTGGCGGAGAGCGCACGGCGGACCGGAGCGCATTTCAGATGTGCGAATAAAACTCCTCTTCTCCTCGCCGCCCTGCGCGTCGTGAGCGTATCCGATCCGCGGCTTCGAGGGAGCCGAGTGCTCCGGGTTCGGCTCTGGAAGGCTCGCACTTCGGTGCCGATAACTTTGCCTCCAAAATAACCGCTTCACCCCGGGTGAAAAATGCAGTAGTGTGTGTGTGCTCTGGTGAAACTAACACCGTCCCTAAAATGGCTTGTAGTTCGACCGCCCCGCTTTGGTCACGTGGTCTCGTCATTTAAGGGCGCTTTGGAATTACTGTCGGTGTACTCCGATTCTCCCGATCCGCTACGCATGATGTAGCCTAAAATAACACTTATGTGTACATTTTAATAGCCTTTCAACCGCAACATGCCATAAAGGACTCAGCGGTTTGTGCTTCACTGGAGCTGAAAGGACAACAGGCAGCTGCTTTGGGAGTGCAAAAACATTAGTGTCGGTGTATGGTCTTTTTAATGTAGGCTATGACGCATGATTTAAATAACCCATAATACACACTTTTACATCAAAAAAGCACAGAACGTGCACTTATTATGTATCCTACTTGCGCTCAAATGACACTATTGGGGGCGTCCATAAGTAGGCTATAATGATGGTGTGCCCTCGCCTCTCTGATGTTAAAAATAACTGCTGCACACGCACTCCCACACGTTCGTGTCGTTTTGACTGCCAGTGTCTCAATCCGCTCACTAGAACACGCAGGCTGGAGCATCAGGCGGCTACTTTATTAATCTCTGTTCATCGTTGCTTGAAAAGACCCACGCACTGGGTTAAAACACGTCCATTTGACAAATGACTCTGATGTCAAACCTTTGTCGCAGGCTTGTCCTGACATCTGCACAAAAAAAAAAAGAATGCGCCGCGACTTTCACTTGATGAATTGGAGCCTTTATCCTTCAGCCAGCGCCGCAGAAAATGAAGGCATCTCGGATGTTTATGGAATCCGAGCCGCTGTGGCGCTTTATCTGATGAGCTTTGAACTTTCAGCAGGGTGGTGGATGCTGAAAGCTTAAGAAAGTCTAAAAAGGGAACAAAATTCTTACAGAGCAATAAAGCTTATAAAAAAAAAAGTAACGCTCTCCTTTAGTGGTCTTTCCCCCCCCCCCCCCCCCCCCCAACACGCCGAGGACTCCAGAGAAAGCTGGGCTGAGCTTCTTGTTACAACAAATGCTGCAGGAAACGAAGTACTGCTGTCATGAAACTATGGCAGAAATCCTCTTCAGGGTTGACAAAACACATGCCTGCCAGTTACTTCATTGGCTCCAGATTCGAAATTAACGTTTCACATCTCTCTGACACACCTACGATATGACAATGACACCAGCTGTATTTCTCAAAAAAACATTTCCCCACCAAATGGTCATTTCTAAAGATCAGTGAGAGCACATGACGTTGTGAAATTATTCAATGCACATGGTGGATTGGATTTATTCTGTTTTAATTGAAACACACACGTTGGAATGATAATTGTCTCTCACATGTCCACGTCATGTCAATCTCAGGTACAAAAGAAACTATAAAGAGAATTGCAATGCCGCTGGAAACTGCTGAAGTTCAGTGCTTTTGTGGTGCCGAAAGGGCGAGGAAACTGGACACCGGCATCACATCTGACTGGCTTTCTCCACACTCTTGGCAGCGTCTTTGAGCTTTCCCACCAAATCCTGAAAACCAGCAACCATTGATCATTTTAAATAGGAACATGTCCGGTGAGATAGCCTAAAATATCACTTAGAAAAATAATATAAACGCTGTTAATTATACTCATAATAAATAAGAATAAATTAAATGTGTATGCGTTCAGAATTATGTTATTCTATCTGCCTCGACACTGAAGAACATTAGACTGTACGTCCGAATGGATTTATCCAAATATTTTACATCGGGAATCTGACTGCAGTGCTGCCATATGATTTAAATAGCCCACAGGTCACATAAACAGAAAACATCAAACAGCAGAGGTCATACTGAAACTTAAAAGGCTATGTAAAGGCTTCAGCGATTTAGCATAATGCATGCAGAATTTATTTTTATACTAGAACGACTTAATGTATCATCATCATCAATGCAATCTACCGGGTTCTGGGCCATTTCTTATATATTTAATGTTGAAAAAAATGACCTTTCATTTAGCCTATTATGTGGAATGTGCAGTTCAAATGATGCAATTTAAGATGTATTTTCTTTGGAAGCTGCTCCTCTCTGAAGAAGGAAACTGCCCTGCAGCAATTTTTTCTTCCTTAGGGAGGGTAAATGTGGTGCGTAAAAACGTATATGATGCAACTGCCAACTTGCTTAACTCTGGAATAGAAATGACAGTCGAAGAGCACATATATTACAATTTGAGCAAACAAGGAAACCCTTCCTCTACCTGTAGCTGCTCCACTGTGCAGGTGAAGTTGATATCTTCCAAAGATCCTTTATTCTAATAAAAGGAACAAACAGGATCGCTATTTTACGCACAGAAACGTACCAAACACACCCGGACAGTGAAGGTATAACAACGTATTAGAGTCTTACCTCAGTGTTCAATGAAAGCAAGTAGAAAGGCTCGTTGACCTTATCGACCTGGCCGTTCTGTCGGGGAAACAACGTTTTGGTTTGGCGCAAGAAATTGTGAAACAAAAAGATATAAAAATATGCTCCAAAACTTGTTATATGTACCTTCACGTGGTATTGTAGACGCCATGTCGCGTCGTTGATCTGAGGTGGACACCTTCCTATGCTAGAGGGGGACAAGAAAGACTGTTGCATCTGTAATCTCGATTAAATAGAAATCACAGACGATCCGGGTCAAAGTATAGAGAAAAAGGAGAAATGTGTTCTGAAAATGTACCTCGTGAGCATTTCAGCCAGAACCCCTAAAGCTTTTCAGTATTTCACAAATAGCCCATTTGAGGTAATTTAAAAGTTTTATGTGTCATACTTTTTTGTGAGATTAAAAGAAGTTGCGCGTTTCAAATTAATTTACTTTTTTTTTTTTTTTTTTGCAACTGTTTAAAATCAGTTCGCAGACAATGTGGCTCTTTCACAAAGAGCTTTTCTTTATAGCGCGTCATAAAGCAGCATTTACATTCAATTAATCACACTCCATGTCCTTTTCCTCTCTGCTCCTCACTGGGCTAAAGCAACAACTTGTTTTGCTCTTTCCTCATTTTCGGGAAATCCAATTCTTTAAAGTGGCGTCAAACTATTTAAATATATCCGTGCGTATTTTTCACATCTCATGTCAATAATCCTCGTCAGTGATGTGGAGTAGACTAAACAAATAGGAAACACTTCGACATTCAGTTTGTGATCATCAGTGAACTTTCAATAAGCAAAATCGTTCAGTTATATTTCAGCAGTGTTTAACTTGCAGCTTAAATTATATGGCATGTTCCAGTTTCATCTTGGAGATCAGTTTGGATAAAATAAGTGAAAAATAACATCAAGACCTCCACAAACCTCTTCACAGATGACAGCTTTAACCATTTCAGACTTACCTAGCTAACAGATGTTCCAGTTCCTTTCTATGTTTCTATAAAACAAAGCATGGATCAATGAGTAATGGGCAATACAGCCACAGTCACAAGACTATATGAAACAAAATAAAGATTTCATAGATGTAATATTGTTAGAACTGTCACCTGATGTGTGCTATAGAATAGTTCTACTCTGTCTGCACTGAATGAGAGTTCTTCAAGGCAGGAGCTGCGAGAACAAAACAACACTTTTATCAGATTTCACAAAACTACATTGACTTGACAGTGTTAATGTTTCATATTTATGGACAACTTTACATTTTAAATTGCAACACATGTATTTCTCCCGTTCCAAAAAAAACAAATGACTGGGGAACAAATACATCAGAAATACAAGACAACATGAAAGCTGGGGTTTTTAAGTAAGTCAACAAGAAAACCAAAATAACAAAGAAACACTTTGATAGAAGTCTAAACTAGTATGTAGCTCTATATTGGTTTGCTATTATCATACACATTAACAACTTAAAACACTGATCTTCTATATCCTGAACACCCAACTCTGATGATCAAAATATCCCCTCCCCTTCTTTGACTAAAGAGCAAAAGGTTAAGGCAATGTAGAGGCACGATTGTGAGAAACTTTATTTTAATAATAAGGCACCACAGAAACCAATATGTCAAATGTAACCACAGTAGTCTACTTATTATTTTAAGCAACTTGCAGGTGATTTCAAAAGTTGCTTAATAATGCCAATTCCCCCAAACTAACAATAACCTGGTGTGTTGTTTATCTATGTGGGAACATTACTGCAGGTTCACCAGCATACGTATCTGGACAATATGGGCCACCCATTCAGGACACACCAACAGCATGGCTAATTAACTCAGTGGCTTTGCAGTATTTGAAATCCTTTTGTTTTTGTTTTAGTTTCCTATTTTTATAGAAAATACTAAAGTGTTCACATATTTTATTAGTTGCTGAAATATTGTATCGACTCATGGTCTCTTATGAGATTCAATCAGCAGGTCGCAGTAGTGTATGTTTAGAAACGTACAAACCTGAATAAACAGTATAAAACAATGGATATGGCAACATGTTTCCTGTCACACTGCAGGTGATACGAGCACAATTTTCATCGCCATATGCTGAAAACTAATGAGCCTATTTTTAGCACATAGGAGGTTACAGCAGCATTGATGTAACAGGAAACCTTCTGTGTGATGTCGCCTACCTGATAGTTGACTTATCTGCGTTTTGTTTGACCGCCTCCAGTATGAAGGTGGTCGCTGCAGTGTGACTCTGTTTGAGCAGGATCTGGTCGATCTGCTTCAGCTCGGGCTGATCTGTACGAACACAAACAAACGGTATGAGGATGCCACTCTGCAGGCATTGCCTATAACACGCAGCCTTTATTGTCTATATGGGCACAACATACGCGTCTAATTGGTATAATTGATGTAGGCTAGATCCGCGATCCGTACTTGTGCTCTCCAGACCGACGTGTAGAATGGAAATCAATGACGATTTGCATGTGAATGGGCCCCTCAGCTGCATCAGCCAGGGGTCCTTTGTTTGTTTGTATATGGTGAACATTTCACTTTCTATGTAATTCTGCCATCATAGAGAGTCGGAATGCTGCAGGAGTTGGACAACACATGGTGTGTGTGACCGAAGCAGCCATGACGGGGTAGTATAAGAGCTGTAACTATTGCACGAGGAGGTAACCAAGTCTGCTGTCATCTTTGCATTAGTTACATTTAGCCTGGTGCTTAAATCGAACTCATAATTAGCAACACACGGGGCGCTGCTGCATGGTTTCAAAGATCTGCTATGATCGGATAAAGCGAACAATCGGATGTGTCTCCATTATGGATTGTGACCAATGGTGATTGAAATAGTCGAACATAGCCTTTCTAATATGCTGAGTAGACTTGATGCCAGTTTAAATGACAAAAGGCATCCCGAGCGGCGGTAGGCTACATGTTAAAGTGGGACTGCTGCAGAATGCAAAACAGGCAGCAGAGAGAGCTAAGACCGCTTTAGCCCAGCTGATGGGTGGCGTGCTGCTGAACCAGTGCGCCTCATTAGAGATCTTATTATCAACACGGGGAATCCGGTTCAGAGCAACTCGCAGCACGGCAGCGGCGCCGTAAAAATCCGCAAACGTCGAGGCAGCTCCACCGCACATCCACACGGGGAAGGAACCGGAAGGAGCGCGCGGAGACAAAAGCGGGGAGAGTCAGCTCACCGAGGACTCCGGGGTCGGCTTGAGAGGAGAGCAGGCTTCGGAAAGACGCGTCCACCAGCACCCGGTAGCTGCTCTGGTCGAAGGCGGACGGATCGGCTAGAGCTTGTAGCCCTCTCTGCACAGACTCAGACAACTCCATTTTGCAAAAGGGTGACCCACTACACCAGACCACGTGACGGATCAGCTGATGTAGCGTGTGGAGCGGCAGAGGGCTGAGTTGAGGAGCTGGGGCTGGCAAATGTGGAGGAAATCCCTGGAGCTCGACAAGAAGAGGGAAATTGCTCGTAGGCTATGTGGTGGTTTTCATATTGCAGTTTCCCTCCCGTGCACCGGGTTTGGTGTGCAATGAAAATATTCTATAGACACCGTCTCTGCGGTTATATTTGCATATTTAAGTATACTGAAACACAGAGTTGCACTCACAGGTGGGGTCCCACTGAAAACCTGAGATATAATACACCTGTAATCCACATTTCCTTTAATGTCTGTTACATGAATGCATTTTCCCCCATTCACACACAGATCTGTCTGTGGCTAATTTGTAGAATACTATTTTCTTTATAGCCTATCCGTCAATAGCCGACCTGACACTCTTTCATTCGGCTACAATGAAGAGCTGCAACCATGAAATGTCTCAATCACATCACGAGATGAAGTGAAACTGACGACACAGGGGATTATTAATTGAGACGGTTTGAATGTTGTAATCACACTGTAGTCCTCTTGTTTGAAGACAGCACCAGCATTTTACAGTTTCATTTCAAGCACATTGGTTTGCTACTAATGGGAATTGAAAGCTGCTACAGTTTAAACCAGCACACATCGAATATGCCTTATTGGTATTTAAGACATTTAAAATGTGGATTGTGTAAAAGGATGCACAACATGAACCTGTTTTTACAACTAATGCACATCTGACTTGTGTGATGTGATAGGCAGCACACATCCAAAGCACAATGCGTTTTTGCTGCACTCATAGCGGTGCCTAACCCTTACCTGTAACACATCATGTATGATTATCTATTTCAATCATCTGCATATTGCTGGTCTTGTTTGCGTGGGGAACTTCCCTGCCAGAGTCTTGAGGCAGTCATCAGGAGTGTTGGTGAGCAGAGTATAGGTCACTTGTAAATTTCCATTATGTCAGCCGAAAACATGTGTAATTAGTGTATAATGCAGTGCAGTCAAGACCTAGAACCATGTGACAATAAACTCCACAGAGAAAGGAAAACCCCTTTTTGCATTAAAAAAAACATGACTGCATTATTAACTGTTATGCCGCATACGTGCTCTGCTGGAAAATTTCCCCAAACTGTGAGAAAAAGATAAATCCTTTGGGTCATGTTATCACGTGGAATGCATGCGGACATTGTTCCTCCATTGGCAAAAATACCTGAAGTGCATTTTTATAAGAGAAAGCCTCCTGTGAGGCAAATGTTTCAGGATGACTTCCTTCTTCTTCTTTTTATCATTTAGGCTACTTGCATTTGTACGTTGTAACTCTTCAGTGCAGTACCTCTTTAAGCTTCTGCGCTGCTCCTGACACAAGTGTCACCCCCCCAGCAGCAGTTAACGTGTTAAAGTCTTGGAGGAAAAACTATTTATTGTTTTAAAAATGTTGCCTGTCGCGGCTGCAAGCACCGCTTTTATACATCATAATGGCAATTTTAGGCTCCATCATTGCCCCTGTGAGATCTTCGTCGGCATGTCGTTCATTATCTAGAACCGGGACGGATTGCAATCTATCGCGCGGCCACACGCACGCACGGAGTGACCTCTGACTCCGCGCTTTGTCCAAAGTCCATTTCGGCTGCAGATCGCGTTGTGAAATAGATTAGCCTACTCTCTCCCTCCAAGATACGTCTCTTCTGGTGACGTGCGTCCCTCTGTCCCCGCGTCTTTCCATTTGGACGTCTCCCTCTCTGTTTATTAACACATCATATTGCATGATCAGATATTTTTCTTTGGGAACCTGTGTCATATGCCTCATGTGAAAAATGATTTGCAACAGACTTGTGTCCGAACTGTAACAGTCATATTCAACCTGATGTATTTACATAATGCAGCTTCTTAATAATTCCTTCAAAATAAATGTCTGGCTCCTCAAATCGAATAACTGACAATGTAAATGAACACAGTCTATACACAGTCACCAATACGTAATCTTCAGCCTCATTTGTTTACATACAACTGCACAGCTGAACACGAGTTGTTTCCTTTTCATCAATATTTTGTTTCTATGAATATTTAGGACTAAATATTAAAACGCACCAGTTTAACGAAAACACCTTTTTTTTCCTGCTGTCAGAATGAAAACCAGGCTGAGGATCCTGCATCATCTTTCGTGAAGCCACATTCACTTTTTTAGAACCTCTTTGTAGTATGTACAGCTGTATAGGCTATAAGACATCGTACAAAAATGTAAAAATGTAACGTAACATGTTGAAAGATGCATGATTTGACCAAATATTATAACCTAGTCTGTTAACCTGTGACCTCTTGAAGTCAATATGGAAGCTATCAAAACTATCCGATGTGTCAGGCAAACTCAAAAGTAAGCAAGAGTCTTAAATTGAATGGATATTAACATTAAGTCCTTTGCAGAAGCCAACAGTGTTTAAGTTGTGGGAGAATAAAGTGGAGTCAACTGAGTCATATAAAGTGAACTTTACAGGTCAAAAATGATGGATAGCCGACGGATGTTTAAATAAAGTTTGTTGCAAAAAAAAGAAAGAAAGGCACGCTGATCTGCATCTCTATTAAATTCTATGTGTTATTTTATCCTGCTGTTCCGTTTTAATCCTTGGTCGACGAAAGGTCAATACAGTTGAATATTCACTTCAGTCTAAATCATCATTTTTATCATTGTCCGTCTTTACATCCTAACAATGACACACTGGAAACATCCCCTTTAAGGAGACTGCTGTAACATGACCTTGGAAAATGTGTGCATTGTTTACAAGGGAACACATTTTCAAAACCAGTTCGTAAAACAGAGATATTTGACCATAACTGGTCTTGTTTCACCCTATACTGGATTAGACTGTTTTGTTTAGGACTGCTTGGTCGATGCATGTGCCATTTATTGCAACAAGGGTGATCATACATTATAGAAGATAATGACAGATTGTCACGTATACCGTTTTTTTGAGTTTGCCATGATTTAATTTCCCAAAACAATAACAAATATAGCCTATCTGAAAAGTAGAAGTTAGATCTGTGGATGGAGTGAGGATTTGTAAAATAAACTAAGCTCACAGTCAAGGCCTGTCTCTGGTTTGGCAAGACGGCTTGTGTTCCTGTCTTCTTTTACAGCACTGCGACAGTAAAATCAACGGATATTTAACAACTCATCAGTCATTTCAGCGTGTGGATGGATTCCTGTAACACGAAGGTGAAGGCTCGCGACTATACCTGCAGCAGCATGTTTTCACTATGGGCTGTACTTGACCACTATGGGTCTGCATTGTTGCAGTATGTTGCACGTTACTGTAGCCATCTCCGCAGAGAGCTACTGGCTCAGGGTTCTGATGTCTCATAAAAAAGATGGCTACAGTAAAACTGTCAACAGGTTTGGTGGGATTGGTGACATCACCAAAAAAATCCGTTCAGTGCGTAATTTCATGAATTCCAATAACTCTCACATGATCGTGAATGAGGCACCGGTGACGTTAAGTGTGCTCTTGTTAGCATGCCTTTTAGAAGTTCAACACAACAGCTCTTTAGCCCATCTGGCTGCTATTATCCACAGTGTGCAATGACAAAAAAAGGGGGTAAGTGGGTGAGTTCATTCATTGTCGAATAGGCTGCAGTCTTCTGATGGAAATTATGAATCACTTGATTTGTCTGACTGATCCAAAAACCCTCAAGAATACACTTTTCCTTAATTCTGCCTTTAGAACAAGAAGAGACTGGACTGTAAACTGTATTCTCCAATACATACTCGTTTGCAAATAATTGGTATGCCTACAACCGTAACTATATTTCTACTTGCTGTGAGCACATTTTGAAAAGAATTGTTGATACACGTTTTAGAGATACATTCCATATCAATGTGTCAGCCAAATGTGTTGGGAGCTCAATAAGAGCTTTTGCTGTCATGTTGTCGTAATTCATAAGACAACCAACGTGTCCTCATAGAGTGGTTCGTAGGATATCAAACTGTTGTAACCTACAGGAGATATAGGTCTGGCTTTTAGTGACTCTAATGGGATAAATAAACTCAAATTTCCATCTTTAATTCCGTGGCTGCATCATTTAAAATAAGCTTTGCGATGAATACTGAAGTAAAGGTTTCAAACCAGAAAATTATTTTCTACATATTGCATTCAAAGCTAGCTCCTCATTGGTTGTCAGTGGAGCAAAAGCGAATACGACTAAACTATTTGCATAGTTGCATAAAAACGTGTGAAAAATAAGTTAAACGCGGCAAAATAATTAACTAGCCGATGCATTTGCCCTGCGATGTTGCATTCTACTATTTATAAGCTCCATACCCCCTTGTTGTACTTTATTCAAAACGTAATTAAGCATATAGAATGAAACCACAATTCCCAAGCCACCAGCTCCGGGGTCAGGACCTCAATGTAACAACGAGGCCCCCTAGGAGAAAAAAATATACTGAATTCACAGTAGGCTAATTCTTATCTGATTATTATTTTTAAAACTTTAAACTGACCCCAAACAGTAGCCTAATTTAAGAGGATACCTTAATTTGAGCTCACAGGAGGAAAGAAAACCTGCTTTTGCACTTTGTCAAACATCAAGTCTGTTTAACCGTTTTAGCACGTTTTAAAAGTTGGGTTGCCAGCAAACCTTTCGGCTTCATTTGCTAAAACAGATTAGAAACCCTGGAACTACTCTGCACCCCTCAGATGTGGTCCAATGGTGTATTTGTTAGACAAACAAACAGCACACACGCTGGGCTCAGATTTGTATAAGGCTATTTAAAGGCAATTTTTAAGGCAGCTGGTAGGGGGTGAAAATTGCTTGCAGAGAAAAACAACAGATCCTCAAGCATTGCCTGTGTGCATGCGTCAAGTGTGTGTACGCGCATGTGTGTACGTGATAGACGTGAGTTTTTTTGCAGAGTGATTCTGCCCCCTGTTGGAAAAAAAAAAAAAAACTCCCCCCCCCCCCCCCCCCTCCTCCCCTTCCTCCTCCTCCAATGCATTGCCTGCTGCTTTTACGTTTAAATGATTTATTATCTTAACTAACACA